CATCCCAAAATAGCACCAGGCATCATTGTTTAGGGTTTCTCTGTCCTCATGTTTATAGTGGTGGTCTTCTCCGCGGATTATATGAATAAAAGTAGAAACAAAAGAAGGGGGGAAATCATTTGATATCAGACATTCCTTTATCAAACGCACACTAGTTTTAAAAATATCTATAAAGTAAATTAAAAGTATTGTGGGAAATGTCAAAACTAAGTCTTGATTTTAGATAGAACCTATCCAAGTCTGCTCTACTCAGGTATGAACTAGTGAACTTCACTATCCTTCCATCTCAGACACTTCGCTGTCTTATTGTCTTACTGTTAATGTTTGCAACAATTACATTCTACTGAGACCTGGTTCAAGTTTCAGTTCCATATTTAAAAGAATGGAATGTTCCTAAGTGGGCCAGAAGTTGGTGAATGGTGTCTTCCTCCACCGTATGTATTGAGATGTAGTATTATTTTCTTCTATTCAAATCGTCTTACTTCATTTCTTGACTGAATAGATGAGATCATCCAGTTAAATTCTGCTTGTTTTTATAACTTCTTTGTCCTGTTAGGCTTCAAGATCATCCTGCACTCATGAAAATTCTTGGGTCAAATGATCTTCTACAACGTAACGTAACTGGTATATTTTTCTAATGCCGACTTTGGAGAGGAGAATCTAATGCCAACTTAATATTTTTCCCCATTGTGTATGCTTGAGTTTTGTTTCACTACCTATTTATTTGTTTAGCTTCCAAGCTCAGTGACTTCACTAGGGTGCACACTGGTATTGACGTCTAACAATCTGAGTGATCAATAATATAAGTTCAATTGATGCTCAGGCTCACATCTTTAAATTGATTTAAAAGATTTTTTTTTCATTTCTGTATGACTATTTCTGCAGCATGCATTAATATTTAGAATCTACTACAAAGCCAAGAGAATGTGCTAAAATACATCACAGCTGTCCATGGTAACGGGAATGGGAACCAAAGAAAGTGAACTTTAGAAATCTAATAACTGGAGCTGGAGAATTGGCTTCATGAATAAACCTCCTGCCACACAAGAAGGAGGATGGCAGCTTGGATCCCCAGAACCTACATACATGCCAGGCAGACATGGAGAGCTTCCCCTGAACCCAGTCTCCTCTAGAGACTGAGATGGGGGATCCCTACAGCAAGATGTTTATCTAGACAGGTTGAGTTGTTATAATGTTCCAGGTTCAGTCAACAATCTGGCCTCAGTGCGTATGGTAGAGGAAGACAATATTCATGAGCCTCTGGAAACTCACACACATACTTGAATACACAGGTGCACCCACATACATACATACATACACATTATACACACACACACACACACACACACACATGCAAAATAAACATTCTAATATTAGACAAAGCAGATTTTAAAGGACTATCATAAAGAAAAAAATTTTGCAATATTAATTGAAAAATAAACTAGCTTTATATATGTAATTATATAATCACATACTGAATAATTTTGTATGCTTGATATTTATGTGCTTTTAACATAATTACAAAATTAACAGAATTAATAGAACTAGGAAGGTCTATGATCATTGTAAGGGGTCTTAATACATCTTTTCAATATCTAACTCAACAAGCAGATATTTAAATATCATAGACATTTTTTTGCTCCTTTGTCAAAAATCAGAGGTTTGTAGGTGTGTGGATTGATTTTCAGGTCTTCTATTTGGTTCCATTAGTCCTCCTGTCTGTTTTTATGCCAATAACCATGATACACCACAGCTGCCAATGATAACAGGTTGTTTTCAGTCCCGTGGCTTTGTAGAAGTGTTTGAAATCAGGGACTGTGATGCCTTAGAGTTCTTGTTTTGAAAAGAAAAAAGGGGGGGAGTATTGTGGAACAATGATCTTGTACCTGTAAGATTTGTCACTTGTATGGGTTTAATAAAATGCTGATTGGACAGTAGTCAGGCAGGAGGTATAGATAGGATGATCAGAATAGAAGAATTCTGGGAAGAGACAAGAATCATGGGTTAATTCAATATGTTAGAGTAAGTTAATAAGAAGCCTGAACTACAAGGCCAACCAGTTTATAATTAATGTAGGCCTCTGTGTGTTTCATTGGGACTGAAGAACTGCGGGACCAAACAGGACAGAAACCTCTGTCAACAAATAGAAAGCACATTCAACAAATGATACTGGTATAACTGGATATCAACATGTAGAAGTATGAAAATAGATCCATATCTATCATCATGCACAAAATTCAAGTCAAAATGGATCAAAGACATCAACATAAAAGCAGCCACACACTAAAACTCATAGAAGAAAAAGTGGGAAGTACACTTGAACACATTGGCACAGGAGACCACTTCCTAAATATAACCCCAGTAGCACAGACACTGAGAGAAATAATTAATAAATGGGACCTTCTAAAACTAAGAAGCTTCTGTAAAGCAAAGTACATGGACAACAAGACAAAATGGCAGCCAACAGAATGGGAAAAGATCTTCACCAACCCCACATCAGACAGAAGGCTGATCTCCAAAATATACAAAGAACTCAAGAAATTGGTCATCAAAAGAACAAAGAAGACAGTAAAAAAATGGGGTACAGACCTAAACAGAGAACTCTCAACAGAGAAATCTAAAATGGCTGAAAGACACTTAAGGAAATACTCAACATCCTTAGCCATCAGAGAAACACAAATCAAAATAACTCTGAGATTCCATCTTTTACCTGTAAGAATGGCCAAAATCAAAAACACTGATGACAACTAATGCTTGAGAGGATGTGGAATAAAAGGAACACTCCTCCATTGCTGGTGGGAGTGTAAACTGGTACAGCTGCTTTGGATACTAGTATGATGATTTCTCAGAAAATTAGGAAACAACCTTCCTCAAGACCCAGCAATACCACTTTTGGGTATATACCCAAAGGATGCTCAATCATACCACAAGGACATGTGCTCAACTATGTTCACAGCAGCATTATTTATCATAACCAGAACCTTGAAACAACATAAACAGTGTCTCAACGAAACAGTGGATACAGAAAATGTGGTACATTTGCACAATGGAGTATTACACAGCGGGGGGAAATATAATGACATCTTGAAATTTGCGGACAAATGGATGACTCTAGAAAACATCATATTGAGTGAGGTAACCCAGATCCAGAAAGATAAACATAATATGTACTCACTCTTAAGTGACTTTAAGACATAAAACAAAGAAAAACAAAGTTGACAGTATGCTTAGCTAAATGCATCTTGGAAGCTAGAGAGATGGTTCAGAAGATTAGAGCATTTGCTATGCTTGCAGAGGGTCAACATTCAGTTCCCATCATCCACATGGCAGTTCATAGCCATCAGCAATTCTATATCAGGAATTCAACACCCTACCCTATTGTTATCTCTGTGGCCATGAGGCATGCATATAGGACACACATATATATATATACAGGTAAACTCTCAAACAAATTTTTAAAAATTAAATTTAAAGCAGAACTCAACACATGCCACAAGGTTGAGTGTTCTCTCCCTAGTATTGTTCTAGAGATCAGTTTATAGAAGATAACTAGCAAACCTCAAATAATCGGAGACTAAGCTGTATCAAGGCTCCATAAGTGAAAAAAGCTGCATAGGAAGCCAGATGCCTTAATCCTCATGAGACAAATATGTAAAAATGCATGAAGGTAGCCAAAAGCATCGCTTATGGGATATATTTAGTCTGAAAGATGAATAAATATCATTGATATTGTTGAAGGATGGCTAATTAAGTATAAATAAATCAGAAGGAATCTGAATTTAAAGGTAAGACTAGGAATTAATGAACGAGAAAATGAACAAATAGCAGAGAAAATCAGGAAAGGCCAAAGTTTATTCTTCTAAAAAAATGTTGAAGTTGATAAAGTTCTAATGAGAATCATCAACCTAAAAAAGAAGACAAAATTGCCAAACGCGGGGATGTAAAAGGCATAACCACAGGTACCCTATTTTTAAAAGAAAATATTACTTATACCTTCAATAAAATTAATTTGAAAATTTAGAGCACCTTCAAAAATGTAGTGTGACAAAGGTAATGAAAAAATGGAACCCTACGTGGTAGTGCATATCTCTTAGACCTATAATCTCATCCTGAAGATACTGAGGTTGAACAATTTCCTGGATTACATAAGAAGACCTGGAGGAAGGAGGACGTGAGGGAAAAGTGGAAGAGAGAGAAAGAGGGGAGCAATGAGAATTTGACAAACACCATCTATTAATTAAATTGAATTATTTAACTGAGCATACCCTATCAAGTCCAAAGGGCTTTACTGGTGAATTTTATCAACATTTAAGGAACACAGAACAATAATCTTTTGCTTAGCCTGAGAGAGTCGAAAGGGAGAGCATATCCCAAAATGATTTATAATTAGACAGGAAATCGTGTTTACCAAACCCAATACAGATGCTGTATGAATGGTTTCTGTGTGTGTGTGTGTGTGTGTGTGTGTGTGTGTGTGTGTGTGTGTGAGAGAGAGAGAGAGAGAGAGAGAGAGAGAGAGAGAGAGAATGAGAGGCAGAGAGAGGTGAGGGGGAACAAATGGGAAAGGCACTAGGCATCTCCGAATTTCTCAGACCCACTGAGGTGTCTCTCTAGCCCCTGACCGCAGCTGTTTAACCACCACAAACTGGACATAGCCCAAAAGACTGTGTGAAACTGAATGAGAGTAAGGGATCAATGGTACTGTATTCACAAAGCAAAAATGTTACATATCAATAAAGATCATCAAAGTCTGGGTAGTTTGCTACCCAGAGATGACAGGGATGTCTCTCCAATGCCTAACAGGAAGTGCGTGAAAGCTTTGGGCTTCTATTTCCATTTCTACAATGTTCCAAAGCCAAGAAGACTGTTACAATAGAAACCACAACCACAAGATTATAAATTGGCAGAGGATTTGAATGAGGTTGTGGTGGGCCTGGTAACAGTCTGGTAAGTTATGCTTAGAATCTTTACAATTCCCATAAGTTTGTCAATAAACCCACCAAAGTAGTGTGTGTTCCTGGTGCTTAACTCCCAAGAATGTAATGGAAACTGATCCTTGATTAAGGAGGCCCCTCTGCTCCTTCAAATCGCTTGCAGTGGACAGACACTTCCTGTCAGAGAAGCCAAATATCAAAAGGCAAGAGGTTAAAATGACTTAAAATTTAGCCATTCTTGCATCAAATGAAAATGTTACAGACTCCAGAGACTGTTCTTATATTTAGACTTTTCCAGTGACCTAAAGGTAGCCATTTGAAATTAGTTAAATAACATTATATTCAACCTTTCGAAATGAAGGCTTTTGCCTTTTTATGAAATACTGGCATTTTCAGCATCAAGAAGGTACACAACCTTCTTGACATGGTGATTCTCCAATGAAATCATTTCTTTTCTCTGTTAAAATAATATGCTTACCAACAGTCCAGTCACAACCTGCAAAGACCCGCAGTGAGATGGGCCCGGAGGGAAGAGAGGCAGAAGGGTCAAGCTGCAATCCAAAACCCAAGAGCATCTAAGTGAGAATCCCTACAGAAGCCCAACTAGATCACTTCTGGTTTGCTAGTTTGCGTTTCAGTCTGTGTTGACAGCACCACAAATGAGTATTGATGGCAGTAACAGTAAATAATTGATGGACAACGTGAAGGTCTGTGGAGTAGAAGGGTCCCTATATGAAGGTTTCCAATGAAAAGCAGAGACTTTGAACTGGAATCCCCTTGATTTAAATCCCAATGAGTTTTGTGCCTTGTCAAGTTTTGTTTCATAGTACTAGGGTAGGACTCAGGGCCTTTCAGATGATAGGTAAGTGTTCAACCACTGAGCTGCAACCTGGGCTGTGATGGGCATGCTCACTCTTGGGTTAACTAAAGGGATCACATAGGAAGCACATCCCTGCACCCATCTGTGAGTGTTCCCAGGCAGCTTTAGCTGAGGAATTAAAATGCAGTACCCTGCCATGAGCCTGGTCCTAGGCTGAATAAATGGGGGAGGGGAAGGAAAGTCAACTGAGCACCAGCCCTCATTTTTCTATATGTCAATCATACCTGTGGACACAATGTGACTAGCTGTGTGACCCTCCTGTGTGACCCACCTTCCCTGTTATGACAGCTGGTACCCTCAAATTGTGAGTCAAAGCAAATGTTCTCCTCTTATATTTTGTCCCCCTTTCGCTTTCTTTTAAATTTTGAGACAGATTCTCACTAAGTTATCCTCTTGCTTTCGCCTCCGAAGAATCTAGGACGACTGGTCTGGGCTACCAAGAATGTGAGTTTGGTTATATCATGCATAGTTCAGCAACAGTAAGCACCCAGAGTGAGGTTATGAGAAGACTGACCGAAGTCCACGCAAGCTGATCCATGATGCATAAGCAATGAGATGACAAGAAGCCTAGATTGCATCATGTGACCTTGGAAAATGACAGCCCTTAGTACATATGGTGGTTTAAATAAGAATGGTCCACACAGACTTATAGATTCAAATACTTGGTCACTAAGGAAAAGGCTTAGGAGGTGTGAGCCTGTTGGAGTAGGTGTGGCTTTCTTTGAGGAAGTGACTCACTGGGGTGAGCTTTGGGGTTTCGTAAGCTCAAGCCAGGACCAGCGTTTCTCTCTTCCAGTTGCCTGATGATCCAGTTGTAGAACTCTTAACTATTTCTCCAGTACCATGTCTACCTGCATGTCATCATGATAAGAATGGACTAAATCTCTGAAGTTATAAACAAGCCCCAATTAAATGCTTTTCTTTATAAGAGTTACTATGGTGTCTTTTCAAAGATACCATAGCAATAGAACACCAATTAAAACATATAGTAGTCTCCCTTGATTTGTACAACAATCTGTCTGGTCAGGAGCAATGAATGAGTTTCCTGAACAAAACACCCATCCCATAACAGGCACTTGGTAATTCTTGCATAATCAGTAAATATGGTCATAAATGGACAAATAAATCAAGGCATAAAGCAGAAACCATTGTCCCGGTCATACGACAAAAATAAGGATTGGGTTTACCTAAGGTCCCATAGCGACTAATTAGAAGAACTGTGTTGCAAACATAGTTTTTGTAAGCTCAGAGCTCGCTCCTCAATTCCAGCAGCACTTGTGACAATATTTACTTGACTTGACCTGGATGTGGGCATTTTATCTTCCTTTTGTGTGTGTGATTTGTTCTGTTAGAAAGTGTCCAGATTCACTCAGCTTGGGAAGAAACCTGGTAAACAAATTTCATGTACATGCTGAAAGAACGTGACATTTTAAATATTCCCAAAGTGTGATATGGTAATATCAAAATAGAATATTTGGTCATTTAACTAAGGTTTGGAGAGTTTCTGGAAAGTTCATGCACCTTACCTTTTCTGATGACAATGTGTTCATTGTGACCAGTATGCTATAAAACCCACATGGATGTCTACAGAATCGGAAAATTTCCAGATACAATATGTACAGAATTGAAATCCATCTTGAAAGAGGGGGAAACAAATGAGCTTTTGAGTGTGAAGAAGTTTAAACATCGAGAATCCTGCTAGTGGAAAGACATGCTAGGAACAGATCCAGCAATAGTGAGGACAGGAACAGCAGTATTAAAGCAGACTCGGGTGGTGCTGCTGCTCTCCGGGACTGTGGTAGGAAAAGCCTGGCTACAGGAACCCAGGAAGCAAGGCTGTGCTTCCCTGCACATGACCCAGCAGCCACTGACAGAGCTGCCTCCCTTTCTGTAACTGGAGCACAAATGGACCCAGAAGCCCAGAAGGAGAGAAAACATTTCAATTAGTTATAAACTGCACACTGAGTGAAGTTTCTAGAAATAGGCTAGCCAAGTGAAAAACAGCCCTAGCCTAAAGGACAAGCTCTATAAAATGGTTCAGAGTGGAAGCTCTGCTGCTGGTCCGTATATGCTGGCTGTTTATATCTTTAGTTTTATTATTGACAAGACTTTTCCTCAATTACACTTAAATATTGGTTTCTAATATGTATACAGAGAATCAATTTATTTTTTTCATACTTATGTCCAATAATCAATGCTCTATCAGGTGGGGCCAACCTGCAGTCTTCAGGCTACATTATCCCAGGGTAACTGGATGTAATCAATCCATAAGTGCAAATGACAGCATCATACAGCAATGCCCAAAGATTGGACATCCCTGCTTCTAAATGTTCCCTCCTACTGATGTTGGGACCTGCCTAGGGTTCCAAACCTTTTCTTCTTTAGCCACGGAGATATCCTTTCCTGTCTGCAGTTGAGGTCTCTTCTGCTGAGCTTCCAGCTCTTGGCACAGGCTCTTGGCTTATTTAGAGCTCCCTTCTTCCATCTTCTCTCCTCTGGTATCTGTAGACAGGTCTTGAGTTAATGTCTTAACTTCTGCAACAGCTTCTCCACTTTGATTCTCTGCCGTTATGATCCCCACTGGTAAAATCAATCTAAGTGCCTCGACTACTGTTTCCAAGGCAGCCGTTTGTTAGTAACGATGCTCTGGCATTGAAGCTGCCATGAAATAAGATGACCTTTCACACACACACACACACACACACACACACACACCCCACTCCCTGAACAGACTGTAGGTTCCGTGAGGCAAGAGGATTGGCTTCTCTCATTCTACGGTGATTATTATTCCTACCTATCATCTATTCCAGTCTTCTATAGCGCACAGGTTTTGAGGGTTAATTTTTAATGGCCAACCTCTCAGAGATTAAAGAAACACTGATTAATGAGATGCACATTTGGGCATGTCTGTGTGAGCATTTCCAGAGAGGTCTCTCAGAAGAGAAAACCCACCCTGAATCAGTAACCGAGACTGAATCAAAGGTAAAAGGAAAGAGCCAACCCAGTGCCAGCGTCTCCTTCATCTCCGTAGATCTTACTGGAATGTGAAAAAGTTCCTGTGGCCACAGCAAGGGGACGCTCACACAGTCAATCCTTCCCAGTTATAATAGACTCTTCTGAACCATAAACCAGAATAAACCTTTCTTTTCTTGAGCTGATGTTTGTCAGATATTTGGTTAACAGTAATGAGAAAAGTAACTATGTGTACCTAAGGTACCCCAAAACTACTTGTCAAACGGGGAGCCAATGAATATGTTAAATGCAAGTTTCTCAAAATGGCTTATGGAGTAAAATATGGAATTTTACCCTTTTAACTTCTCTGGTTTCTTATCTTGCCACGGTGTTTGTAACTATCTACTCACCTGACATTATGAATCAATTTCCCATCCTGAAAACATCATTCTCTCTTTGTCTGTAAGAATTGGTATATGTTAACATTTTTGGTTTGAAAAATTTTCTCCAATTGTGTTTTTCCAGAAAAACAAATGCTTATCACACAAGTTCTATTTTATATGTTTCCATGTCTTCAACTTTTCTTACCTGAAATTGATTAGGTACTCCTCCCAAATATGCTTGCTTGCAGGGAGACCCTTCATATCCTATTAGATGTATTTCTTTCTAGAGTTCTGGTCCTAGTCAGTATATGTTTGCAGATGATAAACTCTCAGGAGCATGGACCACATCTGCTCATTTTATTGTTATATTTTTTACAAAATAGACATTGGATAAATATTTGAATGAAGCAAGCATTTAAAATATAATGAAAAACACAAACTACAAAGTGTGCATTAATCTTTAAGGAAATGTCATCATTCTGATTCTGGTTGGATCCTCCTTTTCCTTCCCCACATTTTGCTGAAACCATCCACAGTAACTCTTCTGAATTCTATGCTGTCAAAAACTTGAAGACTTGTTTTCTTTCCTCGAAGACTTTAATTTCAAGTTCCATTGTTCAAGCCAATCAAAGTTCACACTTGAATTTTCTCATCTTCAGTAATATATCTGTAGAACCCTGGCTCATGCTCTCCCCCATAGCTCGTATCCAGATCCATAAAGTGCTAAACATGGACCTTGCCCTCCTACCTTTCTTCTTCTGCCTACAAATGGAATGTGCACCTTAGCATCACCGCATCCCTTTCTGCTGAATCCACCTGGTCTGCATCTTTCAGGAATGAATGTGCTCAAATACTCAATGGGCTCTTCAGATCCCATATTACCAGGATGAAGAGAGCATCACCACATTGAACATGGCTTGCTGTGTCAGTGTTGAGTTTCACACCTTGACTATAGACACTAAATAGCTTCATGTCTGTTATGGATAGATACTGCGCACCTTCCGGAAATAAGCCATGGGGAAAGTATAATCAGAGCAATCAGCCACCGTTCTGGAGCAGCTCACCAGCTGCTCGCTGACAACAGGCCAGCTGTCTCAGCTCTGACTCTGAGAACTCATACATCCCTGTGACTCCGCTGATATCTCTACTGGTTCTCATTAATAAAGGCATCTGACATTCAGACAAATTCACTGCCTTTCCCCTCTTCTTAGAATCACAGTGAGCCCACATTCCCTAGACCCAAGTTTACCAAGGAGTAAGTAACTCCAAAGAAACTAAATCCCATCAAATAGTCCCTCCCTGCTGTGGTCCCATATCCACCAGGAAATCTAGATCCTGAATTCAGATAATACCAAATTCTATTGTCTACCTAGGAATGGTAGAGATGTCTACTATTACCATATAATTGCCTATGATACCATGTCATTTCCTATGTGACTTATAAGCCTTTCTTTTGGCTGTGGAAAACAATTTTCACTGTTAAAATTTCTCTGTTGAGCATCTAGAAATGGGTTCTTTTTTCAAAATAACACACTAAATGGTATGCCTTGAAATCTGTAAAACAATCAATAAATAAATATTTTATAGAAAATAAGATTTTAATAACAAACTTTAAATGCTGGTGCAAAATAACTGCAATTCACTGTTATTGAATCGATGACTCCTTCTGGAAACCCCACTGTTTATTCAGCATACCAACTCTATATTTTATTTTTTCCACATAAAATTGTCAAAGAAAAAAATTTTAGCTCACGTTTTAACTTAGAAAAGGTCCCACTAAAATTAAAATCTTAAAATAGAAGTCACTAGATTAAGGGAAGGGGAGGATTTAAAGGTAAGTTGGAAAGCCCCTACTTTAAAAATTCACTATATTTTACAGAAGAGAAATAAAAAGTGCTTAGAGGTAAACCAGAATACCCAATTTTTTGTTGTTGTTGTTGTTGTTTTGACAGGGTTTCTCTGTAGCTTTGGAGCATTTTCTAGAACTAACTTTTGTAGACCAGGCTGGACTAGAACTCACAGAGATCTGCCTGCCTCTGCCTCCTGAGTGCTTAAATGCATGCACCACCACCGTCCTGGTTCTTCTTTTTTTTGACTTTTTATTAATTCCTTGTGAATTTCACATTATGTTCCCCAATTCCACTCAAAAAGAAAAAAAAACAAGCATTTTTCAGATCTGAAGCTCAAACAAATACCAAAAGAAAAACTCTTTTAAAAAACAACAAAAAACACGGTTTTGGGGGAATTTTAGAATCAGCCCAGGTGTGGCTTTCCTGCATGCATTAAATCTAATCACACGTAAGTTTTTAAGGCTCTCCTGTAGGCAATTTGTTCTCCTGAAGCAATTTAACAATCTTTAAAGCATCATCCTTTAAAAGGAAGCTACACCTTTTTTTTAAAAAAAAAAAAGATTAAAACCATAAAGAACAAATATGGAGATTGATCAGTCAGTAAAATACTTGCAAGCATAAAAATCTGAGTTCCATCCTCAGATACCAGCTGTGTTGTTGCAGACTGGTAGTCCCTGGGCTGGTAAGATGGGGTTCCCGGGCCAGCCTGCTTGGTGAGTTCCATGCTAGTGAGAGATCACCTAAAAAAAAAAATAATGGACAGCGTCAAGAAAACAAGACTTTACATTCATGCATACATATCCATATACTTAGGTACACACACACACACACACACACACACACACACACTAATAAAAACTGCTGTGGTATTAAGCCAGTAGCCCTCCAGCTCACAGCCGCTACTAAGACTATGTAATGTCAAGATTAGCTAAGTTGTGTTCGCTGAAATTAACATCATTGAAGTGCATCCCTCTCTTTATACCACATGCAAACACCTCAAAACCATCAAAGGGTTGGTCATCTCAATCACCCATATAAGGTGGAAAGTCTCTTCAATCATCTCACCAAAACTAAGCCGAAAGCTTCCAGAGCACTCAAGCCTTCCGTGCTTTGCTTACTCCCCAGGCCTTTCTGTCTCACCTCTCCCTGAACTACTCCCAAGGAGCTTCTTGGGTTGGCTGTGGCATGGTAGCCCTCTTTAATCTCTGACAGCAGAAGTTACCCCAAGTCTAAGAACTGCAGGAATCAAGGGGCTATGAGGACAAAGAGGATGAGAGACCCTAATTCCTGCCTCTCATCTCTCTCACCTGTCTTTAGGTCAGGCTATACACTACTATTCTCATTTGTGGTACTAGGGATCAAATCCAGGACCTAGTACATACTAGACTAGTGCTCTACCAACTAAGCTACATTACCACGTCAAAGGTGTCTTTAAAAAAAAAACAGGATCTCTAGTTCAGGTTAGTTTTCAGTTCCTTACATAGTCAAGAAGGATCTTGAACTTCTAATCCTCCTGGTGTGCTCACAAGTGTCAAGATCGCAGGTCTGTGCTACCGTACTTGTTTTGTGCGGTGTAGAATATTGAACCCTGAGTTTCATGCATTCTAGGAAAATACTCCATCAATTGAGTCACAACTCTGACCCTACAGAGCCATTATTATGTGTCAAAAGGTGTCACTCACTTTATTATACTACTTGTGTTGGCTTGAATAAGAAAGCCCCTCCCCTAGGTCATATGTTTGAATGCTTGGTCACCAGAGAGTGGCAATAGTTGAAAGGATTAGAAGAATTAGGAGATATAGCCTTGTTGGAGAAAGTATGTCACTGGGGGTGGGCTTTGAGATTTCAAAAGCTCATGCCAGGCCTAGGTGTCTTGCTTGACCTGCAGATGAGGGTGTGGCTCTCAGCTACATCTCCAGCATCGCACCTGCATCTTCTGCATGATGAAAATGGACTAAGCCTCTGAAACTGTAAGGCCCCAGCCAAATGCTTTCTTTTATGGGTTGCCATGGCCATGGTGTCTCTTCCCAGCAATAGAACAGAGACTGCGACACTACTAAATGAATCTCCCTCAAGTCCTGCATGACAGCCAAGACATGACACCGCTTCCTAATTAACAAGAACAAAGTTGCAGAAAGTTGTTGCCTGCCTGAGTTCATGAGGCTGAGCTGACAGTGGCCTCGCTTTGGTTTCCCACATAGGACATGCAGCTCTTGATTTACAAAGATATTTATATTCTCAGAAAATTCAAACACTATGAAATAGCATGTCATTCTTTAAAGTGTCATACCTTCAGGATGTTTACATACACCTTCTCTCCAAACATCTGCAACAGCTGCTTTTAGGCAACAGGACAATGAATTATCTTTTCCTTTGAGAAATCCCAGACGATTTAGAGGAACAGACAAGTCTCAGGCTACAAAGATTTGTAAGAAAAGATGCAAGATTATGAATGAGGCCATGTGGTTCCTTCTTTTTGCCTATATACTAGCTTGTGTGCACACAACCACACAACTAGACATAAACACATGTGCACACACAAACACACACACACACAAACAAACAAACACACACATACACACTCAAGACTAGGAAAAGCTGATTTTTCAGCTTCTTGAAGAAAGGGAGGGTCAACTCCAAAGACGGTAGTATGTGGAAAAAGATAGAGAAGAGGGGAAAAGGGAAGGCATTGCAACTAGGAGGGTTTTTTTTTTTTTTGTAACAGCTCAGGGGTTTCCCCAAAAATCAATGGCAGCCCCACCCACAAAGCCACAGTCTTGGGGAAAGAGGCAGTGCTGTGGTCACTGTAGCCCCTATTAACCGCAGAGTGGCCTCTGTAATTAGAAATGAGGACTTTGGGTTTTGAACCTGGTTCTACCATGGGCTATCCTATGCTGTCATAGAAAAGAGGAATCAACTCCATTCTGCGAGTCAATCAGTGCTCCCTAGGCTAGCAATGCTTCTTAAAAATGAGTTCAAAGTGTCTTCTGTGAATCTCAGTGGGTCACTGTGGAGAGTATGGAGGTTCCCAAGACATAAGCCTACCAAAGAGTCAAACTCTCGTAGATATACATACAAAAGAAAGCCAGTGCACAGGGGAGACACCTCTATGCCAATTATTGTAGTAGTGCTCTCGAGACCTAGAATATCTAGCCATTCAGCCAGAAGAAAAATGGGAAAATGTTATTTGCAGCAAAAATGGATGAAACCAGAGGACACCGTGTTAAGTGAAACAAGCCAGGCACAGAAAAGTAAGAGCAACATATTCTCTCTCACATATGAAAACTGAGAAAATTAAAAATAAATAAGTAAATCTGAAAATAAAATTGTGATTACTAGGTGCTGGAAAATGTTCACAGTAGGGGCATAGAAGGAGGTCAAATAGAAGAATAATAATTGGACATGATCCATACTCAATGTAGGAATGCTTGGAAATACATTATTAATACGTAAAATTACTATATTCACTAAAAATAAACGAATGTGAAAAAAGCCATCAGGAAAGTGATCTCTAAACCATGTGACCATAATTTACATATTGTTATGTATTTATTGGTTTCCCAACTTAACTAGCTTCCAGAAATGTAGCATTCACCTGAAACCTACAAATTGTGTTTAAAAACCTGACGTCTCAAGTGCCAAGCTTATACTGACGGTATTAATTGTTTTTCTGTTTCTGTAACAAAATGCCATGATCAAAAGCAACTGATTGAAGAAAGAGTTTCTTTTGGCTGATGATTCCAGAGAGCTAGAGTTCATAATGATGGGGATACCATGGCAAGAATGGGATCAGGAGCGAGAAACTGAGAACTCCCATTCCAAACTCATCCTTCAACTTGTGGAGATGGAGTTAAGTTAGAAGCTCTCAAAGCCTGCCCCAGTGACGTGCTTTCTCCAGGAAAGCTTTATGTCTTAAAAGTCCCCTAATCTTCCCAAACATTACTATCATTTGTGAATCAAGTATTCAATATGTGTGTAGGCTGGGCAACATTTCTTGTTTCAGCCATCGCAGTAACCAGTTTACTCTGCTTTGGGAGAAGGGATTGCTCAGAATGTGGTGAAACTAAGATCGTCTTGGGCAAAACAGAAAAGCTGGTCAGCCTATCAATACCACTTCTATTTAATAGCTAACTTGGGCTCCTTCTATGTGTACCGACCAAATACATTTCCCACGCAATAATGTTGTGGAAGAGGACTAGGGAACCCATTGGTTATAGTCAGAAATAATCCAACTTATCAAATAAGAAGAAATGGAGGAGAGGTGCCAGGGGACCCCTCAGAAGGAACATTTATTACTGGTGCACTCCCACATGGAGAGGAGAGTCCTGTCATGGGGACTGATCGATGTAGTGACATGCCCTTAGCTTGGATATATGACCACAGTACACAGCTTCAACCTTCTCCTCTAAAAGGAAAATACGATAATAAATTACAGAAAAGTTGAGAGTATATATCATTCCAAGGCACCGCTTGAAATACACCTGCTTTGTGTACAGCGAACACGGCAAAGGCAAATTAAATAAATGTCAGAAACAACTGTGCACATGTTCATTCCTTCAGCAAGAGATACCCAGGGTGGGGAAGAGGGCTGCTCCATACAAGGCCCTGTGGAACCCTAGGGAAACAGGGAGATGTGACAGACTCAGTTCATGTCTGTTAGGCGTCTTACCTGAATCCTTTACTGTGTTCATAATGTCTATTCCCCAGTTTGGAGTTATGCTAACCTATGTGGGCTTGTCCTCCAGGGCATAGAAATCCTCAATAATTCAATCACCTCATTTACCATTGCTCCCTCAAGAAGAAACCATAGTCAAAGAATTTTTTCTATAGTGTTCAGCTTTTAGTATTCCTTCTTGAGAGGCGGCGTAACTTAGGTATCGGGTGGTAGGGACATGTATTAAAGACAAACGGAAGTAGAAGCCCCAAAATGATGACACTCATCGTTTAAGCCATTGCCCGATGCTTCCTGTATTGAATCAGTACTGAGACCGGTTTCCTTCCTAATTCATTAGCATTACCTTAGCCCTAAGCCTTTATGGCTTTCTTCTACACCTGGAGTCTCAACTGGCCTCTTGGAATTGAGGCAGAGCAATGCCTGAGACCCAGCCCCACGGATCAGGAGAGCACGGCCTGTCTGCC